AGCAGAAATACAGCCTGAAAGTAAATAGAGTGAAACTAAAATCTACATACCAAAAATCTTTTTTGCATGCAATTATATTGAAGAGATCTCATAAATAACAGTCCATGTGAACAGTCCTCCATAAATCACTCTCAAAACTACAGAAGAAATAGAGATTTAATATGACTCCTCACTGTCCTCTGAACAAAACTTTAAAGGAATTTCTGGAATATAAGAAATGTGTACTATAAAAATGCAAGAATGCACAAGTAACACAATAAACTTACATGTAAGAAATGCCTTTTCAGACAGAACCAAAAAAAAAAAAAAAAGCCAAAACATTCATTTACTTGGCAAGAGTAAAAACATGCTTTCTTCTGCACAGTAAAATTTCTTCTCTACACAAAATAGATTCCCACAGAAATGTAGAAATGATAAACAGTAAGCTAGTTTCTTGGCAAGAATCAGCATCAATATGATTATTAAGTATCCTCTACAAGGTTGGTAGGAAAGGTGGTGAGCCAGATGGCAGCCACAGGAAGAGCAACCTCTGCCACGCCAGCTGAGATAACAGATAAAAACTGACAGCAGTGTTCCTTGTAGGTGGTTGAAACAGAATGTACAGAACCTGTTAGCAATCTATTTAACTGAAATCAATATTTGAATAGCAATTCAAAGCTAACAAATGGCTAAAAAGCCACTGCATACTCTTTTGTAGTTTCCACTAAATGATTCAGCAATGGACAGGGCATGTACTGAGGTTAGTGCTGTGAGAATACACAGCAAAACCACAAAAGAGCAAGTCCTGGAAAAGGAGTTGACTGGACAGAGCAGTCAAAGCCTTCACTTTCTCTCAATGAAATTTCTAGTGTATATTATTGAAACTAACTTACCCTTAAAAAACTACTTAAATCCTTCTATCTACTTCTTGCCAGCGTTGCTACAATTAGCTTGCTTTGCCACACATTTTCCTCAAGCAACATTTACCTCATCATTCCACAAAGTTCCCAATGGCAGTATTACTGCAGTAAGCGTAATTCATTGAAAAGTTTTAAAGTCTCTATTCTGCCTTTTCTAAAAGAACTGTGCGCTATCAGACCTACTGTTGTGTACCAAGTCAGCAAAGGAACAAAATAAAGTATTTAGACTATCAAATTACTTTGCAAACATATCCATCTCTGAAGTGCTATGACAGCATTTTCTCATTGCCCGTCTTTTGCACATAAATACATACTGTTGCAATAACAACTTAGCAGACAGGAAATAAGGAAAGAAAAACATTAAGACTAATTCAGCACAACGTTTCATCATGGACATAAATTCCTCCCTACTCAGCAAAGTTTTCAAGCATATGATTAACTTGGAACACGTGTTTAAATTCATATTAACTTCACTGAGGTTCTGGATAAGTGATGGAATCATGAACTTAAATGCTCTGCAGAATTGGGTGCTGCAGAAGAACAAGCTAAAGAAAACAGAAACACAAAATCTTCATTTCAACTGACTTTTAATGCATTAAAATGCATATGTTCCACAGAAGTAAAGGTTATCCAACAACAGCAAAACTCACATGAGAGATCAGGACCCTGTCAGCTCAAATACTGATTGGAAGAATATATTCCAGCTTTATATGTAAGCCATGTTTTCTGATGGGCAACTGAGACCTGTACAGGGCCTTGCTGGTGTCAAGAAATAAAATTAATTTAGGGGGAACAAAAAAGAGAGAGAGAGAGAAAAAACAAATAGGAAACATGAGACTGAATGCCTGAACCACCATATTAGATGCATACTTTTCATTAAGAAAACGAATGCTTTTGAAAAAGTATTAAGATAAAATTCTATTTTAAAAAATTATTCTCATTCTCACCATCACACATACAAGACTATTATACTTGCAGTTTTCAAAAGATAATGGCTAAAAGCCAGCTCTGACATATAAGGCTGTCATTTTCCCTGAAAGCACTGAGAGTCCTACCAGTGCTGAATTTGGCCCACTCAATCGATTGTCTATGGTAACATCCACACACCAGTGTTCACAGTAGCTGTGAACTTTTCTGTTAATATTACTTCTTGCAAGCTTTACTAATGATAAGAAGAAACTAAAATAAAAACAAACAAACAAAAGGTAACCAATGAACCACAAAACAGTGAGAGTGAAGTCAACTGACCACTGTGGAAAAAAAAATAAATGTAATTAGTTGCTTTAACCCTAACCTCTAGTATTTTATTTTATGGTACAATGTCTAATTTGATATTATTCTTAATGAACTGTAATTATGATCATCAGCTAAAGAACTTATTCCCTGAACAGACTGCAGGAATATGGGCAGGGCTACATGAAAATCATAACCACAGTAAAAAATATGTATCTATACCACGTTTTCCACCATTTTCATTGAGCTCTGCAATTTTCAGTTGTCATAAAAGCATGGACAGAATGCTTTAAAAAAAAAAAATTACCACTTTGATCTACACCACTGTGCACAATGTAATATTTTTAAGTCACTAAACAAAGTTAATATCATAGAGAAAAGAGTGGCTATCATGCCTCAGATATTAAAGTGTCTTTCTCTGGACCACGTGCCAATAAAATAAAATAAATAATTAAAAAGCCACACCAAATCGAACCAACCCAAACAAAGAAAACAACAAAGCCAGCCACAAAGACAAAAGTGTATTAGGAGGTAAATCTGAACATAGTAAACTGACCAAGGATTTATTAGTCAAGCCGATTTCGCCTTTTTTCTTAAAGTATCACAAATAGTGCTAATGTTGATATATATCTTTTCAAAGCAACTGGTGGTATATGTCACCCTAAGGTATAATCATAATTATCATGCTTATAAAGGGACAAAAATACCACATGCTAACCCTGCATGCCAGTATTTCTCCAAAGCTACTTGTTAGACACTTTAACAATCTGTACTTTGTCATGATGTACCATCCACAAAATTGGCGGCTTGTGTATCTTTTGGTGGGGTTTTTTCTTTGGCTTTTTTTTTTTTTTTTTTAAGAGTTGTTAACATATGTAAACTTGTCACATTCTATGCAACATCTCCCCATAGAAGGGTGGGATCACATCTATTCTGGGCAGTTTCTTGGCTTTTTTTTCTTTTTTTTTTTTTCCCCCATAATGGTGCAGCTCTACACTACTTATGTGCTTCACTTACACCTCCCACCCTTGTCCTATATGGCTAAAACAGAACAAAGGTTCTACTTGTGCTCCCCATGACAAAAACAGAATAAATTACGTCTTGCTCCTGTCGTTCCAGCAAGCTGGTTAATTGCATTTGTTTCATGTATCACCAAACAGCCTGGTACATTAATTACATTCTGTAACACCAAGCTCCTCTGATTCACTCTGTCACTTTCACTGAGCACTTTAATTGTCTTCCTTCTAGCTACATACAATTTTAAACACTTACTAATAATTACATTTCCACAGCCTGATGTTTTCAGTTTATATACAAAGATATCTCCACCACTGGTGGCCTTATGAATCAAAATATGTTAAAGTAGGAAAAAAAAAAAATCCCCACAAAACTATGACCAAGCTAACAGATGCAAATGTTCTACTAATGCCATTCCAACTTCCTCCTGATCAGCATGTACATATATTACACACACACAATATATATATATATTTAAAAATCACTAGACCAAACTGAAGGTTAAGTAGCATGGCTTATTGTGCAACCAATGTAAAGCACTACTTGAAGGTCTCCTTCTTCTCGGCTATTTGGTTCCTCACTTACAAGGGGAAGAGGAGAGGAGGGGCAGAAACACCCAGAGCAGGCTAGCACTGCAAACAATAACCCCGGTGTCCTCGCTTAGAGACTGATATGCTAAGTACTGTAAGCAGCAGCTTCCTGGAACAAAGTTTTCTCTACCAGGCAGAAATAGCCGGGGTTCCAGTTATTAAGCTCTCTGCTTAGAGATGCAAATGCTCAATATTAGGAGGGCTGCCAGACATTTGATCCCAGCACATGTAGTACTGCATGCTGTCTGAGATGCTTGCTTCACATCTAGTAGTGCACTTAACGTCTACGCTGCAGTATAGCGCCAGCCCCCACTCGGAAAGATATTTTACCCTTGCCCTGGAGCTGCCCTACTAAAGCGTGTAAGTGTTCATTTATGCTCATATTATTCCCTCGGCCACAACTTCAACTTGAAAATGGTAAGAAACGTTGCAGAACAAACCTAATGGGGAGGGAAGATGAAGGAAAAGGAAAAAAAAAAAAAAAAAGAAAGAAAAAAAAAAAAAAAAAAAAAAAAAAAAAAAAAAAAAAAAAAAAAAAAAAGAAAGAAAAAAAAAAGAAAGAAAGAAAAAAAAAAGAAAAGAAAAAAAAGCCTTTCACTCCAACACTTCCCGACAACGCTCCCTGCGGGCAGCCCGTCACGAAGGGGCGGGGGGAGATGGCGGGGAGACCCTCCGCCCCTCTGGCCGCGCCGCACCTGCCCGGCCCCGCGGGCACGGGGGGCTGTGCCGTGCCGTGCTCTGCTCACCGGCGCCCGCTTCATCCTCCGCCAGCGCCAAAGGAGGTGTTTAGGGACTCTGGAAAGTCGCCAGTTCTCCTCACCTGGCACAGAGGCACAGCTCACCTATTTATTTCATCAGCAAGCTCTCCCGGCGGAAAGTTTAACAATAGAAGCAGGCGAAGTAATATCGGTTACAAGAACTGCCCGCCTTTCTTTTCTCCTACCCGCTTCCCTACCAGCACCTCCTGTAAATGAAAGATTTAGCACGATGATCGTTCCTCTTCCCCACCACCTCAAGCTGATATTCTTCCACGCACAAGCTACTTTTCCATCAAGTTAGCAGAGGGAAAGCACTGCTTATTAGAAACACACATTCCCTCTCCCCCACACCCTACCCCTCGAAATGCCATTTTTATACCAGAAACAAACTTAAGGCTCTGTAACGCTAAAGCTCATAATGCCGTCCATGTGCTGTCCCAAATCAAATTCAGCTGGAGGGGAATTCTGCAGAGAAATGGCACATCTAAAATAAGCGAACTTACCGTAGACTTGAAAAAATGCAAATCCAAAGAGCAGGAGTGGCGTCAGCAGACCCATTTTGACATATTAAAAGCAATCCCGATCGTTTGCGAGAGCAATTCCACAGAGATCCAAAAGAAAAAAAAAAAAAAAAAAAAAGAAAAAAAAGAAAAAAAAGTATCCAAAGACAGCGAGAGGTAGGTCCAAAAGTTTTCAGTTTCCTAGCAGCTACTTAAAGCGGAAAGGGAAATCTTGCAATCAAAAGCTGCGGATGGAAAGGTCTTGAATGTGACACTTTTAGATCCATACAGATTAGAGCAGGCAGCGAGCTCCGAAGGCTTCTGCTTCGCACACGCGCTCCTTCCTAAATTCCCACCAATCCAGCCCAAGCTGAGGAATTATTCAAGTGTGTCTAAGGCTCTCTTTAGGCTCCATGGCAATCCAAAAGCAGGCTCTTTCTTCGGAAGACAAGGAGAGGCTCTGAAAAAGGACCTGATTCCTAGAAAGTGTTCCGCAAACTTCCTGGCACTTTGCAGGAAAACCATTGGCTTGGTTTGGCTATTTTGCTTCCCTCTCCCTTCGCCCTACCCCTTCTCTCTCTCTCTCTCTCCCAAATCAGTTCAAGCTGCGGAGTTTCTCACTTAACTTCCATAATAGGAACGCCCAGGCAACATGCTACAGGAGGGAACGGCTTTCTCAGCATCCCCTCGAAATAAAGCCCTTCTCCCCTACACCTCCCTCCTCGCTAAGAACCGGAGCGGAACTGCTGGAGGGCAGCAACTCCGCCGCGGAGCAGCTGCTGCCGTACAGCGGTGGCGGCGGGCTGCGTGCAGCGCAGAGAGGCTGCGGGGACCTCCCGCCGCCGCCTCTCTCCCTCCCGGGCGGCCCCGGCTCCCGCCTCGCCTCTCCCTTCCCTCCCCTCCGCCTCCTGCCGCCGCGGACACACCGGCTGGCAGCGAGAGGGAGGAGAATGTGCGCGGCTCCCGAGGCTGCCTGGGGAAGGAGGCTGCGGGGTGTGACTAAAGCGCCTCGCTCCACACCCACGCGTCCTTCTCCGCCCGGGGTAGGGAGATGGGGACGGCGATAGGAGCAGGCTGCCGGCGGGCTCCCCCGCCTCTCCTCCGCACCGGGGTGCCCCTCACCGCGCCCAGCCGATCCGGGATGAGCGGTTTCACGGCGCTGCTCCCCGCGCACGCTTGGGAGCGAGACCCGCGCGGGGATCTGCCCCGGGGCGGGAGGGGGGAATTCCGTGGAGAAGAGAGGCGGCTGCACGCAGATCGGTACAGATGGCTCAGGCGTGACCTACAGAGCACGCGGACCTCGCGGGGCTGGAAAGTTTCGCCCCGACGGAGCGGCTGAGGGGCAGCGCGCAGTCCCCAGCATAGGGGGCAACGTCCCTCTCCCCCTGCACGCACGGTGCGGGCTCGTTAAACGGGGCGTACAATTAAAAAAACACCGCAGGAACACACAGACGGGAGCCCGCAGGAAAGAGCAACGTGAGAGACGCCGGATTGTGGCGGCGGCCGGGAGCGGGGCGGGGCAGCGGGCGGGCGGCCGCCGCCTGCCCCGACCCACGTGCGGCCAGCGGCGGCCCCGAGGTGACGGTAGGGCCGGCGGTGAGCGCTGCGCGCCGCTCCCGAGCCAGCGGTGAAGCTCGGGCGCCCCCTACTGGCCGCCGGCGGGCAGCGGCCGCTCCCGCGTGCCCTGCGTCGCCTTTTGTTGCGGCGGAGCCTTCCGCCCGCGCGCGGGAGCGGCCAACGGCTGCCGGCGGTGCGTGCCTGGGTGTTGAATGGGGCGGGTTTTGTGACGGCAGGGAGCGAAAGCGCGTGGCTGTGGAAGGCAGCGGGGCTGTGCCGGGCAGTGATAAGCGTCCGCTGGAGAATGGGAAACACGGATAGTTACGTGTAACTTTCTGAGAGGAATCTGTTCAAATACACTGAAAGCATCTAGCGAATTTATATATATTAAGACAGACGCTGAAGTCATTTTTTTTTAAACAGTGATGATGGTAGACAGAAAATAACTGGCAATGGCAAATATTTTACCACTGCCAAAGGTAACAAGTGTGAAGTGTTTATAGTGTTCTAAGAGTGTAAGATTATTCTTCTTTCATACGGAGCCAGAGGACATTTCCAAAGCCTCCCTATGCAAATCAGGGAGCAGCGTCCTCCCATACTCACAGTGTGCCCTGTAGATAAATATATATTAATATGTCTAAGGACTGCCTTGTGAAGAAGAATATAATTAAAGCTAATTAGAATAAGGTGATCAAAATGGTACTCTTCACGTGCTTGCGGACTGGCAAAATGAGAAAACCATAAATCACTTACCTAACAGCACTGTGTGCAGTACGAAATATTAAAGAATATTTCCCCTTGTAGTGGACGTTTCAAGGACACTGTTAATGAAAATGCTGACTTGTTTACTACAAAAATTAAAGTTGGAAAACTGTGAGCTGTTCAGTCCTTTTTTCTGCTTCTCAAACAAATGTAAGATAAATTTAATAACAGTTGGCATGGACCAGAACGCTTTGTAGATGCGTACCATCTTCAAAACTCTCAGCTACAGAGGTAACACTAAAAAGGGTATAATGATGTGCAAACACTCCCAGTGAAATCAATGAGCTATTCACTGTAGCTGGTACTGTTGATTCATTCAGTAACGCAAAATACTGCTTTTCAATGATGAAACACTTTGCAAAACTTTGAAAAGCTGTAGCCGAGTTTAATCATACGTTTTCCTATTAATTTTGCTCATATGTATTTCGGTGATTTTTTTCTTTAAGATAGTTAACATTTGTCTGAAACGGGTAGCAGAGTCTGAAAGAGCTGAGAAACAAGCTTTTGTATTGGTTACTATTCGTTTTTGTTGGAAAAAGTGGGCTAAGTTTGACTAGTATGAAAAACAAAAAGGTCTTATGGAGATCCACTGGGGGTTATAGTAGAGGTCTACCCATGTTACAGCTTGCAAGCACATGACATGTCACTCTCCTTGGAATAGCATTGGCTTCCATTATGAAATATAGTCCAGATTCATGAATTAAAACCATTATGCTTCTCTCTCCTGTCTTTCCATAACCTCCTATGAACATGGCCAACAAGACAGATGTTCTTTACGTGAATAGCAAAGTCTGTGCAAGGAATATGAATGCCAGCTCTTTGTTTTGGCTATGAACAAACCTGATGAAACACTTATGTAAGATGTCAGCATTGGCGCACATGCAGTTCAAAGACTATTGTTGAGGTGGGACTTTAAAAACAAGGGAATTACAGGATATGATTGCTTTGATTAATATGAAAAGCATTTGTTATAAGAAGCAGGACTAATTTCCCCAAAACAACAGTAAGATCAGACATATGATGGGTAAAAGTAGAGGTTTAATTGCTTCAACATTTTCATATTTCATACCTTTGATTCCTAGATTCAGGTATCTACATTAAAATATGGGAGATGTTTAAAGTTAAGTGGTTTAAGACTAGCACAATTTTCAGGTGAACTCCACCATTTGGAGAATTTTTCTTCTAAACCATTATTGCAATTTCTGACATTACAAATGCATTTAATATACTCTACTTTCTGAGAGTAGAAACCATAAAATCTTCTTGCTATCCACTTGAAGGGGAGAGGATGAGTTGAGGAGGATCATATATAATTTATTCCAAATAATAGAGCTACTCATCCAGAGAATTACTGAAAGTGGCTAGGGATCTTTAATATCAATTATATACTTGATGGTCATGTGTTTTAAATGCAGGGCACTAATTTAAATATTTAAGTTAGAGTTTGGTCTTTCTACACTCTGAAGTAGAGTAAAGGCAGCTCCAGAGGAAACTGAAAGCATATATTATCAGATAGTCTCAGAAACACACGCAAAAAAAAGGGAGGTTGGAGGAATGCTTAATAAGCAATAAACTTCCCAGAGAGTATAGACTTTTCTTCCTCTGCCACAAGCAGTCACTGGGCTATTCTGTTCTGGATCATCAGGTTCTGATGTCATCAGACTACTGAATACGTAATAAGAGAACAGGATTATTAGCTTTTAATCCCTATAAATGCTGAAATGTGCTTTTTTGGTTTTTTTTGTTTGTTTGTTTTATTTTCTGTTTACAATCTATGGGGTCTTCCACACAGAGACGACATGGGAAGGTAATTGAGGAACTCCATCCAGAAAAAGAAGATATTTCTAAAGAGAATATATAACACTGTTGCTAGATCTCTCTCATTGGAGGACCCTGAAAACTACTTTTTCTGTCCCTGGTTACCACAGTTTTGACAAACATACTTTCCCAGAGCAACTTCCATGTTCTGTGCAGAAGAAATAAAAATGATGGGCTAGAGGCATGTGTTTTATTCTGTGTTGCAGAGGTGACTCTTCCAGTGTCAAGGGCCACTTTCTGCTTCCACATTAAAATTTCTGAATTGTGGCATCTGACTTCAGAGTGTTCCCGTGGAAATACCAGTCAAACAACACTAGGAGCCCTGTTTTGAAATGTCCTCACCTTGCTAGCCTGTGCTAGTATGCTGCACTATTTTTAATGCCTAGTGCAGATACAGTGCTTACCACACTTACAAGAACGATCTGTACTGTTTTTAAGATAAATATTTTGTAAATTAAATTATTACAAGTTTTTTTTTGTTTTGTTTTGTTTTTTTTTAATATACATCATATGCTCCTTTTAAGTTTTGCATTCATGGCTCATTAAATGTGCAAAAGCTGGTAACAGAAAGATGGTACAGATTCCTGACAATTTTTAAAACAGCCTCACCTAAAATAAATTTGACTTCATTCTTTTATTTTTAACTGAGATTCAGAGTAGGCAATAAAGCACAAATATTTATACGATAGTTAAATGTTACCATGTAAAGATTTTGTAGATAGTACTTTCCATTTCTTCTATGGATGTACTTTTACTGCCTTTAAAAAATACAGTGTCTCTCTTTCACATTTTGCAGGTTGGTCAAAAACTGAAGAAAGCAGAGAAATAATTCATTGCTTAAAAATAAAATAAATTGAAAATGAATTAAACAAACATAGAGTCAGATTTCTCCTTTCTGGGGGGTATGGAGGGAAGTGAAAGGCAAGCCTGTGCAACTAAAAAGAACTGTACAACTCATGAAAGAACTGGTAATTTTACTACATGAAACGTAGGTCTGTGTTTTTCTTTTGATAAGAAAAAAAGGATGGCAGCACACAGTTTTCTGGGATAACCAAAGCTGAGATTGTAAAGAGCAACAATATCTTTAAACTGAAGAACTAAGAACAGCACATGTTAGAAATATGCGTGACTTAATATAGTAGTGGCTGAAACTCAAAACATACAGTGCAAAGAGTCATAATCATTGGCACTAAAAATTGTTTCAGCATTGCTGAGCTTGGTATGAGCTTGTATAGACTTATATAGGGCAGTTGGAACCAGACCCTTTTTAGAGGTTCATTGGAGTGAAACAAGAGGCAGGCCTCTGCAGAATGAGAAAGTTCTTGTTAGATATCAGGAAGCTTTTGTTTTTTTACCATGAAGTCAGTCAGACAGGTGCCTAAGGGGAGATGTGGAATCGCCATCAATGGAAATGTTAAAATCTTAACTAGACATTGCACTGAACTTGATTTGAGTTGGTCTAGATGATGTTGTACTAGATGGTTTTACATCCAGGTGTGGAGTCCTCAGTACAGGAGAGACATGGACCTGTTGGAATGTGTCCAGAGGAGGGTCACAAAAATGGTCCAAGGGATGAAACACCTCTCCTACAAGGACAGGTTGAGAGAGCTGGGGCTGTTCAGCTGGAGAAGAAAAGCCTCTGGGGAGACCTGAGAGCAGCCTCTCAGTGTCTGAAGAGGGGCTATAAGAAAGAAGGGGACTCTTTATCAGGGTCTGTTGTGATAGGACAAGGAAAAATGGTTTCAAACTAAAACAGGGAAGATTTAGATTGATTGTAAGAAAAAAAGTTCTTTTTTATGATAAGAGTAGTTGAGCACTGCAGCAGGTTGCCCAGAGAGGTGGTGGATGTCTGTCCCTGGATACGTAAAGATCAGGATTGATGGGGTTCTGAACAACCTGATCTAGCTGTAGGTGTCCCTATTCATTGCAGAAGAGTTGGACTAGATGACTTTTAAATGTCCCTTCCAACTCAAACAATTTTATGATTCTATGATCTTCAGAAGTCTCTTCAGACTAATTTTTTTTTTTTCAGAAGTTCCATGATTCTATGAATAGCATTACTGTTAATGTTTTAAATATGTGGATGTCCTCTGTTTGACACTGAATATCAAGATCTTTTGCCAGGGAACTATGTACTAAAATGTACAGTAGTCCTCACTTCTCTCATAAAATTATATAAAACTACACACACAAGCTATAAATAACAAAATAATTGCTTGATTTTTCCTAAGATTTAAGCCATTTCTGTTGCGGTACTGCCTTTTTTGAGTGACTCCTATGTAGAATGAACAATAACTATTACAGGAATAGCTGAGTATTCCTTGCTCTCTTGTGATTAGAAACACTTCCCTTTGCAACAGAGGT